GATCATGAACTTTTAAGTAGTATAAGCTCATTTTCTCGTCTTTCTTCTCGAATGTTCCATCAATCTATCCAACCACCAGCTGGGAATCACTAAAAATATTGATGTTTTCAAGTTCAAGATTAATGGCAAATTCCATGGCTACGATAACAGCCTCATATTCCGCCTCATTGTTGGTTGCCTCGAATTCGAATCTGAGTGCAGACTGAATGTCCATGAGCATGTTCGGGCTCGTTATGATGACCCCTGCACCCGAGCCCGAGGAGTTTGATGCTCCATCCACAAAAATTTATCAAACATCTGTTGTAGTGCTCGAGCTCTCTTCTGGCCCTTGAGGCTTTGGGGTGAGTTTTGCAATGAAGTCCGCTAAAGCTTGGGCTTTGATGGACGGATGGGGTTTGAACTCCATGTCAACTCTCCAAGTTCAATTGTGCACTTTAGTAACCTGCCTGAGACGTCTGGCTTTTGAAGGATGTGTTTCAGAGGCTGGTTAATGAGCACCACAATGGGATGAGACTGAAAATATCGTCGAAGCTTTCATGCTGCCACTATTAGGGCAAGAGCTAGCTATTCGCCAAAGTGTACCTGGTCTCTGCATCAAGTAGGACTTTACTCATGTAGTAAATGGGTTGCTGAGCTCGTTGACCTTTTTCACCAAGATGCTGCTCATTGCATTTTGAGACACGGCTAAGTACAATAACAAAGTATCCCCGGGCTCCAGTTTAGTGAGGATAGGATGAGACGCCAATGTCTATTTGAGCTCTTGAAGAGCCTTTTCACATTCCTCATTCTATTCAAAGGATTGGCTGCCTCTAAAAACTTTGAGGAAAGGGAAGCACCTATCTGCTGTTCGGGACGTGAACCTGTTTAAGGTTGCTATCCTCCCTGTCAATTTTTGCACCTCTTTCTTAGTTCTGGGCGATTCCGTTACTGCCAAGGCCTGGATCTTATTGGGGTTTGCTTCTATCCCCCGGTGAGTGATCATGAAGCCCAAAAATATTCCCGAAGCTAGACCAAATACACACTTCTCTGGGTTGAGCTTCATCCGATATTTTCGTAGGGTGGCGAACACCTCCTCCAGGTCGAATATGTGTTGCTCTACCTTCTTACTTTTCACCACCATGTCATCAACATAGGCCTCGATGTTCTTCCCTATCAAATCAGCGAAGACTTTGTTGATGAGTCTCTGATATGTTGCCCCAACATTTTTCAACCCAAACGGCATCACCCTATAGCAATATATGGCTGAATCAGCCATGAATGAAGTCTTCTCTTGGTCTCCCTCAGCCATGAGGATTTGATGATACCCCAAGAATGCATCTAAGAAGCTGTACAACTTATGTCTGGATGTGCTATCCACAAGATTGTCTATCCTAGAGAACGGGTAGCTGTCTTTAGGGCATGCCTTATTGAGATCTGTAAAGTCGATGCAGACTCTCCATTTACCACTGGCCTTCTTCACAAGAACAACATTAGCGAGCCAATCAGGGTATTGGACTTCCCTTATGAACTCCGCTCTCACCAGTTTGCCGACCTCTTCGTGAATGACCATAAGTCTTTTTGGCGCAAACTGCCTCTTTCTTTGCTTAACATGTTTTGCCCCTGGGCTTATATTGAGTCTATAGACTGCTACTTCAGGGTCTATCCCTGGCATATCCTCGACCTTCCATGCAAAAACATCGATGTTACAAGACAAACAATTGATGACTTCCTCTCGAAGGCTAGACTTGAGATCCTGACCAATAGTTACCATTTTTCCATGCTCGAGATTGATCACTTCCAATTCCTCAATCGGGCCAAGTCTATCCCTTGGCTCGAGCTCGAGGTCTGAAAGTTGCATGACGTCTGTACTCATTCCTTGAATGCTAGTAACATAGCACTGTCTGGCAGCTGTTTGGTCTCCTTGAACTCCTCCGGTGCCATGGCCTACTGGGAACTTTATGGCCAGGTGGAAAGTTGATACAATGGTTTGGATCTTGTTCAGTAGGGGGTCTTCCAGAATGAAGTTGTAAGCCATAGGAGTGTTAACCACTTGGAAGAGTGTGATCTCCGTCACTTGTGCATTGCCAGAACCTAATGTAAGCGAAAGCTCGACGATGCCCTGCGGGATAATGACTACACCACCAAATCCCTGTAGAGGAGTTTTTACTGCTTTGAGCTGTTTGGGAGAGATCCCCATTTTAGTGAAAGCCTCCCGTGAGAGTATGTTTGCTGCACTCCCATTATCAACCAAAATCCTCTTTACTTCAAAGTTAGCTACAATTGCAGAGACAACCAAGGCATCGTCATGAAGATATGATACTCCTTCCAAATCTCTTGCTCCAAAAGTAATGTCTTTGAGTTTATCATGGGATTCTTTTGAGGTATGAGCACAGGGCATATTGCTTTCGCCCACTATTTGTGTCTCCTCCAGATGCTATGCCTCCAATGATAATATTAATGGTCGCGGCAGTGGGTTGAGCACTGCTTCCGGCTCCAGGCTCTTTCCGATTGTCACGGTCATTCCTTGGGTGTTTATCATGACCAATATAATTCCTTAAGAGCCCTCTTTTAATGAGGGCTTCAATTTCCAGCTGCAAGGCTTGACAATCCTCCATGGTATGCCCATGATCTTAGTGAAATTCACAATACTTGCTCCTATCTCTTGTGTCCGGAGGCGGCTTCATTCTTGAAAGCCACTTCAACTCTTTCATATCTTTGATCTCCATTAAGATATTTGCTTTGGAGGTGTTCAACCGAGTGAGAGGCCCTGGTGGCCCTTCATTCTTGCGTTTTTCCTAAGGATGCTCTTGTCGAGAAATGGGATCATGTTGCTCTCGCCCTTTTCATGGGAATGACTAAATCTCCTTGGATTCAGCGTTTCTTCCATATTAATGTATTTTTCAGCTCGGGTGAGAAGGTCGGTCACTGTTTGTGGCGGGGTCTTCGATAAGGACATCTTGAAGGCTTCACACCTTATGACGTATATGAGGACGGAGACAGCCGCCGTAATGTGAAGGTCAGGATTTGAAGTCTTTTCTTGTTGAGCCTTGTCGTAAATCCTCGTAGGGTCTCATTTGGTACCTGGCGAAGTTGCATGAGAGAGGCCGCAACCTTTGTGATTCGCTTGCTACTTGCAAAGAAGGTTGAGAACTTATCAGCCAAATCTAAGAATGAGGCTATGGAGTTGGGCTCCAATGTCGAGAACCAATCCCTAGAAGCATTAGTCAGCGTTTATGGGAAAGCTTTGCACATAACTTGATCCGACGCTACTTGCAAATTCATGACATCAGTATATACATTGAAATGGTTGATTGAGTCGGTCATCCCATCATATTCTTTAATGCGAGGATATTTGAATCTGTCGAGCAGGGGATATGATAATATCTCCGACGTGAATGGGGTGTTAGGGGTAAAACCAATTGGCCCCCGAGCATTCCATAACAGGTCGGCTGTAATTTCTTCTTGAATGATCTAGGCAATTTCTCCGGAATCCATAGCAACCAATCTCGAGCTCGAGGCCATGTTACGAATACCCGAGGTCCCTATTCCTCCAGTTACGAGGTCTTTTGCTTAGGCTCGAGCATCGCCTATAAAACCACCATGCTCTATCTGCACTCGTGACGAATGCGAATTTCTTTGACTTAACAGCTGTGTCATTGTGGCCATCTGCTGACGGAGCTCTTCGAAGGCTTCAGTTGTGACGATCGCCGACTGGGGTGCGGGTACTTCTGACGACTCTTCTTGAGGAGCCGGTTGATCTTCAGCAGGATGAGGGATGTGAGTGTATGAGCTTACGGAAGGAAGACCTGATCGCGTGTTAACCATGGCTTTTGGTAGCATTTCCCACAGACGGAGTTAATGATGCTACTAAAAATCGTACCTATTAATTTCCCGAGCTTGAAAACATTGAACGAGCACGATCGTAGTTTTCTGGTTCCTGAAACAAAGGCAACGAATTATGATCTCGTTGTCCCTCCGATATTTAAGTCAGAAAGGGAATTATATGCGTGATGCTATAAACTGGGGAATAATGAACACGTACCTGAACAATGACTCATGGTCCTGTATTTATAGTAGCAGATAACATTCTCCTAGTAGGATTCAACTAACTAGGTATTACCATCCAACAAAGTCCTATTAGGTGAAAGAGTTGGACCAATGCCATGATTATGTTTAGGAGAGAATCATTGCGGGAGTCAAGTATTGAAGTAATATGGTATAGTTAGAGTCCCAACTACATAGGAATCCTATTGGGTCAGTAATAACAATCGTGGGATGCAAGGAGAATATATCCCGAGAACCGTTACTGCTCGAGAACAGGTTCATGAAAATGAGGATACATCAAGGATAGAAGTGCTCAAGCATTTATATCTCGGGGAAATAATGCTCGAGCATTCCATACGTGGAATCGCAAGTTTCTGAGAAACATCCTCGGGATAAAGTGTTCAAGGATAACCAAATTTTCCATATTAGTTGCAATACCAAAAAAATTTACTTTTTTTTTTTTTTAGAGTATACCCAAAATTTTAATTTATATCACACACAATCTCAAATCTTTAACACATTTTTTTCCTCTTCAATCCCACACATACCCTCAATCTCAAATCTTTAACACATTTTTTTCCTCTTCAATCCCACACATACCCTCAAAATTTCATATTTTAGAAGTATGGGTGGAATTGGAAAAGAAAATGAAGTTTTAGATGTTAGAAACTGTGGGTGGTACAAATATATATTTGGATATAATTTATAAAAATTGAAAAATTTGGAAGCGTAACTACAATTATCCATTTTTTTTTTTTTTGACTTTTTAAGTAAATTTTAACGCCTAAACCAACGGATTTCAAAGGTTAGGGAGTCTTTAGGACCAAAAATGTCATATAGGAGGGATTCCGTCCAAAATAGAAGGATAGGGAATATTCCGTAATAGTGGTAAGGTTGGGGTGTGAATTATCAAAAATCAAACAAGAAACCTGTCAAAATCAATGTTTCTAGAAGATAGAAATTTCTACAACACGGCTTTGAATTGAAACCTCGAATTCTCCAAGGATAAGTTTAAAATCTCCCCTCTTCTGCTTCGGATTTATCCAGATTCCAACAATATTCCTTCACAGGATCGTTAATGGCATCAATTTACTGCTGCAAAGAATGCGGAACCAATCTAAATCTTCACTCCACCTACCTCTACCCGCCAGATTTCTACTTCGAGGCCGGCAACAAAGGCACCTTCTCGTTTTCAGCAATCGATTCCTCCAAATTCAAGTTCGATAAAGAAGACAAAATTCGGCCCTTTTTTGAGACTGTTAATTACTGGGGAATCCAAAGGAAACGGACCAAAATCAAGTGCAATAGCTGTGGAAAGCTCGTCGGGTATATTTACGATGATGGGGCGCCCATGACGGATAGTCCTGGTCAGTTCCATATGGGTCCGAGTCAGGTTGTGCCTAGAAACCCTAGGTACAGGTTCAAGACTAAGGCTTTAAGGATTGCTTCTGAGACTTGATTTGAGGCTTTTGGGTTTTGTAAATAATGATTGATTAAGATTGATTCAGGATTTGTTTTGTATACTGATACAGATGGTTTTTAGGTTTTGACTTTTTGTGCCTGCTAGTGTAAATATTTCTTTAATTGAATAAAATTATTTAGTTCACTATGAAATCTCAATGGATTTTTTACTCAAACCAAATCAGCAGTAACAAGTTCTTTGTTAAATTGAAGCTCTTTTTCATCTTGGTACTATAGAATTGAGGACATATTATTCATTTAAAGTGTGTGTTTGTTTGCCAATTTTAATTGTGATAGTTTGATTCTATGATTATTTATTGAACGCTTGGAATCCTGATATGTCATTATGATATCTCAGAAGAATGATATGAATGGTGTCGAACCCCTAAAAGTCGGGTGAGCTATTGTTATAATTTGTTAGATGTGATGACAGTTTGATTTGATTTCAATATTGCTGCAACTTGATATTTATGTGTTTTTTATGCCAAATGGTTGTCTTGTCATTTGATCTGGATGGTGCCATCCTTCTAAGAGAATTTAGTTTCAATTAAATATTGCTGCAAGTTGGTATTGATGAGTTGTTTATGACAAATGGCTGTCTAATCATCGTACCTGGATGATAGCACACCTTAAACTTCCATTTCTGCGTGCTTAGTCTTCCCTGGTTTTACATGGAATAGAGCACAATAAGGATAAAGATTTTTATTCATTATAGTCAAGTAATGTTTACGTCAATATGTTGCTATTGAATATGAAGGCAGGTAAGATGTCAATACACCGATTATCTTATTCAAATTTGAAAAAAATAAGAAGTGTATTGTTAACATCCATTGTTTGTCTTCTTGCAGAAGACTTGCTACAGGACACTCAAGTTCCTGTCATCCATTCTATTTGAAAGTTTTGTTGGCACGTCAGTTAATTGATCAGGTCATGTGTCTTTTTTTATTATTTATGGTTATCAACTCCAATTATTTTGTTTATTGCAGTGCTTTTTTAATACACAACATCTGCAAGAAAAATCTTGTGCAAATCTTCCACATACCAGATCTTTGATTAGAAGCACTTGAAATGAAGCAGCCAAAACTCAAGGTCAGTCGACCGCCCATACAGATGCCACTGGTACCAAGGTTTCTTGTTATGGGGAAATGTATGATTAAGTCACCAAGTGTGACCAAGCAAGAGATTGCTAATTATTGGAAGCAGAGGCGCATGGTGGAGGAAGATCATCTTTCTGCTGCTATAAAGGCTGCAGCTTGGAAAAGGGCACAAAATCTCTCTGTAAGTTTTTAACTCCATGGTATCATTTTAGGATAAAGTTTCTATAGACTCAATCCAGTAATTTGAAACACTTTGTTCTTTATTTTGACTGTATTTAAATTATACCATGCCACTATATTCCCTTTATGCATTCACCTTTTTTTTTAACAGAGATATATGAAGTCAGTTTGCTTTTAGATCTAAGTTTTGGGAATTGCATAGAGGATGCTTGACTAAGCAAAAAAGTCACCTGTTTATTAGATTTGTAGAGAAGTATGTCTTTATGTACGTCTCAAGAAAGTCACTTTTTAGTGGCCTTTTAAGCTTAACAAAACATGCCTCAACTTGGCTTGGTCTAAAGTGCTGTGAATATGTTGTTCATGAATCAATTGCTTATAGTTTCCACTTTCTAGTGAATTGGGATTTTAATGTGGGTAGTCACTAATTTTGTTTTAAGTAATTGTGATCACTAGGGTCTGTTTCTTTTGCAGATATAATTGTGAAAGATCTAAAGTTCTCATTATTTCAATTTTTAGGAATATGAATTAGAAAAAAATACTATTTCTTTTCCTAGGCCCTATTTGGTACCCATTTTTGTAATAATGGAAATGAAAAAAATAGTTGTTACGTACCCACACAAGAGATAGAAAATCAAATACGATGGCTTAATGTGATGGATAACGGTCATATTTTTTATTTTCGTGGCCAAAGAATGGAAATCAAACGAGAGCCTAATAAGCATCTCTCTTTCTCATTAAAAAAAATAATAATAATAATGAATCAGGAAATTGAATAGTAGAACCAATGTTTTAAACTACTAAGCCGGTGAAACGAGTGAGCTTTTCGTCCGTTTGTAGCTATCAGACCGGATTGCACTTTGCCCGATCAAAGCTGGCTGGTTTCATAAGAATGGCGGCTGATTTAGTTAAAATTCTGGCCGCTCATTGAATTCTTTAATAAAACCATGAAAATGAGTTCTGAATCAGGTATCTCAGGGTAATTAGTCAACTCCATTGCCCCCTAAGTCACTCATGGTAGTTGGCTAGTTGCTATAATATGGCTTCAAAAGTATTATAAACAGAAAAATCACCTATTACAATTATTCTTTTCACCTTCAAACTATATCTACAGAATTCCAAAAATTGGTTCCTATTGGTGTATCTTATGCATAGTTTTAGATTCTGGATAGGGATCTATGCATGTAATACAAGAAAAATCATCTATTTGGTTACTATCTATTCTTTAATTACAAACGTTTCCAAAACCAAAAAAAAATTGAGAAAAAACTCAAGTCAAAGTCAGCCGTTGATTTTAACTACACATTTCATGGAATATAAATTTTTTATCAACTTTTTCAATTGTACATTTCATCAGCTTTTATCAAAATCTACTAAAATATGATTTTTAACTACAATAATCTGTGACTGTATACAATAGAATTATTCTAGACATCCAGCAGCCCTTTGGTACAAGTGGTGAACCTATACCTTGACTAGGTCAATGCTAGAGTCTGGTTTGAAAACTCTGAGTGAAACACAGGAAGGTATTCTTGGATTTGATGTTTTATTAAAAATATAGGATTTGCAGATAAAACGTTAATCGCCCAGTTTCTTTCATCTTCCAGATCACATATAGGACCACCATATTTTCTAGATCCTTATGTGCAGATAACGTATTATGAAAACTCCAGTACTTTTCCAGGTCAATATTCCTTTGCATTTTATAGTAAAAAATGCGATTCTAATGACAATTGTTGTCCTTAATTGTGTACTTGTTACCCTATTGTCATGTTATCAGGACTCTTGTTTAAGTGTCCATTGAGGCATATGTCAGCAGAATATATAGGTGCTGGACCCTAGATTTCATGTCTTCGACCTGTATACATACTACATCAAACTGTTATAATCTAAATTGCAATTCTATTTTGTTGGTGATTAACTCGGTTTAAGCGTTGGGTATATAGGAGCATGATTACCAGCAATTTGAATACTCCTTGAAGGCGAATGATGAGTATGAGAAGCAGAACAACAAAGGAAATGGTGACAACAAAGAGATACGGGTGGGAATCAAGGACTGGTAAGTTGAAATATTTATCAATGACGACTCTGATCCAGCCAATTATTTTCATGTTTAAATTAGATAAACGTCTAGGCCATGTAGCGGACACTTGACAGCATTAAGGAATAGAAGCATATTATATATGAGCTTTTCTAGCCAAATGTAACAAACATGTCCATATGGAGTCAAATTCTAGTTACGAATCATTCATCAAAAAGTTTGAATGAGTATTAACACGCCAAACTGTCAAAACTTCGACAATGTCAAAAGGAAATTGAGTGGATTATTGATTTTTTTTTTTTTCCCCAATTAATTGCAGGTGGATGAAGAGCGAATATTCATACCTAAACCAGCCAACCATAAACTTGGTGGATAACTGTAGACGACGATACTCCACTTATACCCCCCAAATCCTATGTGACAAGTATGATCCCCAACTACAACATTCAGAATTTAATCGAGGATTTTACATTGATCAGATGGCATGATTTTTCTACTAGGGATGCTTTTATGCTGATGAAGCTTGCATATTTGAATATTAATGTTCACAAGTGTTGTACATATATGAATTGCATTTTAATTGAAATAGACATGTCAAAAATGGTTTTGGATTAATGTAAAGCATGAACACTTATGGGGTCGAGTACATATTACAATGTATTAGACATTCGATAACAACCATTCTAAACATATATGATATATGCCTATATTTTTGTTTTCGTTTAAATTTGGACATGATTTGATATGGTTTGAGCATGTTTCTAACATGTCGTGCAACGTGTCTTGTATGTTCAAATTTAAATTTTTTATACTTCGGAGGACATAAATTTTTGATACTTGGTGGATGGGTCCATGCTTGGATTTGCGTTTTCTTCATTTCTAAGGTGTTTTAGGCATGATCTTAATATGTGAAGGGACACGAATTATTTTTGTAAATTTTAGAATACGAATTATTTTTGTAAATTTTAGAATACAAATTTATGGAAAATTAGAGTTTCATTCAAAGTTTTTACAAATACTAGCTTCTATTGGTTCTATCCACTCTACAATAGATGTGTTAATTGTGTCACAAAATTTGAAATACAGGAAATTTGAAATACAGGATTTGGGATGAGTTTGAAATACAGGAAATTACACTTGACCCTAGTTTTTAACTTATCATTTAAAAAATCAGATTTTATTCTTTCAAAAATGAGGTTTATCCTATCCATCCCATCCGATACTCCTTAACCCTAATTCATTTTCTATCTAAACAGAAGGTCACAGAAATTTCTCAAGCACCTTATTCTCTAGCATCTTCCTCACCTTTTTGTCACTGTAGCACACTGTAGCATGCAAAGCGTAGCTTCGTTGGGACATGGCACGCTTGTCTTTTTTGTTATAAGCAGTGAGGAGCCATAAGCCATGCTGCTCTACCTCCAATCTGCTTTTGAAGTGACGCCCGTGCAGCGACGATGAACATCATTTTGTATCTCGATGCCAAGTTACTTAGCCACACTACTTCTCTGATCTGCCTAGTTGCCGCATTGTTGTTTAGTCGGAGTTTTAGGATAGGTTTTGGTGGTGGTATGTAAATGGTAGTAATTGTTTGTAGTTTGCAAATGGTGGTGGTTGGTGGTGCCGGTACAATCATGGTAGTAATAGTGATGGTGGTGGTGAGATGGCGCGACGTTTGGATGGTACCAATGGTAGTGGAGTGGAGTGAGGTTGGGATGAAAAGCATTTGTGATCAATTATTTAAATGATTGTGATAAATAAAATAGATAATTTGTAATCAATAAATAATATATCGATAAAATGGATAATTTGTAACCATTAAACAATATGTAACATTAAAAATGTGTGTAATTATGGCTCACAATATGTGTCATTATGATTGTGACTTTATGCGATTTATTATTGTGACCATAATTACGTGGTATTGTGACCTTTGACATGTTATTGTGACCTTAATTTGTTATCTGATTTTTAAAACTTTTTTCACGAATTTCTTATTCTTGAAAATGTGTTCTAAATTTTAAAGTCTTTGTAATTACGTATTTTTCCTTTGAAATATCCTAATGCAATTTACTATTTAGTGTGGGCAAGCCCATAAGCAAATCATTGGCTCGTTTTCACAATAGTAATAAATAAATTGAAAACAAGGCACTTGGACGACTCATCCCAAAATTGAATTAGCATGACCTTATTTATACATTCAAGCTGTCTCCAACCCAATTCAATAAAATGGTTCAACTTTCACATCAAAATATTGCAACTTCCATACCATTTTATTTATTCATCCCAAATCCATTACATCAAATATAACACCAAATTAATAATTTTTCATTTATTTCCTTATATTGCTCAATAATTAATTTATTTCAAAAATTATTTAATTACAAATTATATCACATGCTAAGATTACTAAATTAAAACTACATTTGATTAACAAAAATATTTATTTATTGATAAATTAGAAAAGATTACACTTAGTACCACAATTTAAAAAAATTACATTTAATCTCACAGCTTAAAATAATAATCAAATCAAATTAAATTATTAAATATTAAATATTAAAATTTGTTATAGTATAAAATGACTAGGGAAAAAAAGAAAGAAAGGAAAATCGTAAAATTACACCAAATAAAAAGTGGCGCTACATATAATTCAATTGAATTCAAATCTAGCGTAACAACTGTTGACCTCCGAAAATGGCCAACAGATGTCATTAGAAGACAATCTGCACGTGGACGTATTTTTTGCAGTATATTGATTGTGAATGCGTATATTTGAAGGAGAAAATAATTAGTAGACAACTTTGTGCAAATATATGTTGTGCTCTTTCGCTTTTTTCTTAATTCAAAGATTCATTCCCCAAAATGATACAAGAATTGCTTATTTATAATTATTGGGCCGACGTGGTCACTTTTGGATCCGATTCACGTGGCCTGATCTGCTAGACTCTGACGTCACATCGACTTTATTTCACATTAATTACATTGATAGACTTTTAACGTCCCTGACATCTATTAAATGGGGAATGTCGCATCAATCAACTCCAAAGATATGTTCGCTAGATTCTCTTCTGATTGTTTCGAACTCCGGAAGCCTAAGGAGTTCGGCAGCAAGAAGTAGACCTGCCTCGAACATATAAAGCTAGGACCGCTTCGACAATTCCTAGTGAAACAACCTCGACACTCAATGCAACAGCCTTGGACGTTTACTTGTATGACTTGCTTCAGTTGACACCAACGCCACGTGTATAAACATAAGGATTCCATGTGGACCTTATTGGAGGCATCGTTTATGATTAGTTATGACAGCCATTTACACAAGTTCAGTGCTAAAGGACTTGCGTGATGGTCGCCTAATTCCCATATTAGCTATGAAAAATGGTTTCACTTTGTGTTCTATGCTATTTATTATTGGTCAAGGCACTATTTGCTCTTGTCAAAAGCAGAAAATAAATCATTTGGACACAAACATGCTATACAAAGACATAGTTCACTATTAACCTCGAAAAAAAATGATGATTTAACTCTTGAATTTGCATATCAACGATGACATAAAAGTAATCACAACTAAGTGATGTAAAATTTTCGTTTCTGGAGCATTACGTCGTGAACGAACTCAAGATACATACATAGCATCCATGTTAGGAACATTAATATGCCACTTTTGACGGAAAGAATAAACCGTGTCAAGAAAGAACATCAAGCCAGTTCATATGGAAGATAATTTATTTAAGGGATACTAATCATACAATGCAATAACTTCAAATATACAACAATATCTCAAGCCAGTTTATATGAAAGATAATTTATTTACAGGATACAAATCATTTGATGCAATAACGTCAATTCTGCTCTGGGAATAAAGTCGTGTGATTTATTTTCAATCATTAACTCATTATCCCGTGGAATAAATTATGGTAATCTTGAAGATTGACAAATATGAAATTTCAATAGAAGAGGAGAATCAGAAGATGTTGGAGACAGAGCAACAAACTAGTCGGAGGTCGATGGCGGACGATGTCACGGTCCAACGTCGGCCATTGATTGGAATTGGATTTGCTAGAAATTTGAAAAAAATATTAGAAAGATTCAGTGGGCCACGGACCACCCTTGCTCATGTGTGCCTTCACCCTCGAGTCTAAATACTAATGCGAGATCTATGATGTCTTGTGTCTACCCTTTAAAATTATACTAAATCGAACATAATAATACTTTTTAGCGTGATTCACATGATCGCAACCCTCAAAACCTTGAATCTAGAGCATTTTGAGGATTTTTTCATGTTCGATCATATTGAGTTATTCAACCACTAATAAATAATAATCATATATTTATATTTTTGACATAGGACGAGAATGTTTAGGGTGTACAACACTTTAGCTCTCGTTTGAAATCTAAAGTCAAAGTTAACAATTAACTTTGATTACATTTCAAAAGATTTACAATTTTTCGACCACACAGGCAACAACTTAAGTCAAAATCCTATTAAAATAGTGTATTTTGTTCCAACTCCAACTGATGGATGATTAGACTTTGTGCAGTAAGGGTAGGCCAGGAGGTGCCTGCTTAGCCTTTCATACCCACTTCTCGAGTTGCCATTGGAAAATTAACTTTGCATAAAGCCATCAACTCAAAGACAAAACCCAAAATGTAGCCAATAATTTATAAACACAATACATATATATTAATAATTTTATTTTGGATTAGTTTAATCACAAACATTTATTCCATTATCCCCCGCCATTTGCGCCATAATAGAAAGCCTACACCCATTGTCGCTGTCATTTCTCCACATTTCTCCATCAACCATAGCAAAATTGCGTTTAGTAAGGTGTGTTAGAAGGGTTGCGTGTAAATAATTTTTTTTTTGACTTATAAGTAGTCGATCTTATCAATATGTTGATGATAGTTATGAATATTACAGAATGTGTAAATAAAAAAAATGTTGGATTTTAAGCTTGAAAAAACTTAACCAAACATAAATATTGTGTTCAACATGGTCATCGATATTTTCTTCTATGCAATGTTCAATTTTTTTAATCAAAACCTGATACGCAAGTGATTTCATTAAATAATTGGCAACGAAACTTGAATTTAGGACATTTGTCTGCTATGATAATTTACTAAATCGCTTGATGTAGAAGCTTTAAGTATGGAAAATAGTCGTATGTGCATCATTTAAATTTTATCTAAGTTTATTTGGATTAATCACACAAGAAAAGTAAAATCGTGAACTATATCAAATATAATGTTCTTTTGTGTTATCTTTTATCTAGTTGGTGTTCTATAAACTTCTCTTTCAAGAAGGATTTTTCCAAGATTTTCATTTCTAAATTTGAAACCAAAGAAATATATCAAAAATGGTCAAGTAAGGTTGTGTCATTATAGATAGCATAGTGATGGCAACGGGACAACTTCGGGACAAGGTCTAAGGCGGGATGGTGGCTTTCCCTAGTTATTTACTTTTTATTTTTTCTCTTTACGGGGTGCCCCGGCCCATCCCGTCGGACAGGACGGGGGTTTTTGCCATCACTAAGATAGCAAAGAAAGTCGGCCATTACTAAGATAGCAAAGAAAGATACCTCAACCACATATAAAGTAATATCATTCAAAAATTATATGACTTCACGAGTTGTCATGTCTTCATTTCATTATAATTTGTTGTTACATACTGAGGGAAAAAAGATGTGCAGTTTTGTCTGATTCCTTGGTTGGTTTCTCCTCAATCTT